CAGATTTGTAGTGAATGTGCAAAACCCCAAAATACCCCGGTTTCTGGGACCCTGTCCTGAAGGCGCAGACGACTTCAGGTCTCTAGATGGGCGGAGCTTCATAGGGTGGGCGTGGCTAGATAAAACTTTCGCGTTTTCGCATACCATTTTCTCTTTTCAGAGGCCATATAGGAGAACCGGATCAACGCAGATGGCCCTCTCCTGGGATTCACTTTTAGATTAGATACTACTAAGATTAGCATAGATTTTGCCCGGAGGCTGCCTTTCGATGTAACTGAAAAGCAGAAGAGCATAAACCTTGAAAAAAAGCTGCACAATTGCCAATCACTTGGACAAAAACAGAACTTGTATTAAGTGACCTTTTCTGTTTGATCTGAAAATGAAAACTTTATCAAAGAGATTGGACTCACTTTAGCTTCTTCTTGTTCTTCTCCTGGAGAACTCGTATTTGATCGGAAAGCCCATTCTTCTCAGCAGTTTCCCCACCGGTACTCGTTTCTGCATGGGTAATGATTTGTACAATTGGCAGCGGTTTGCTTTCGTTAGATCGAACCCTAAAATATTCATTGACATTAATATTACAGAAAATTCATGGTGCTTTAACGCCGCAGTACAAAATTGACACCAAAAACCCTTGAGTTTGCAAACCTTTGTTTCGAACGGCTTCTTTTCTTTTGCGACGATCTGCTATTTGACTGAGAACTTGAATTTGAGCCGGGTTGCTGATGACGTTCTGTAGAACGAGAGTGAGATTGCTGATGACGTTCAGTGGAATTGGAACCAGACTGCTGACGACGTTCTGTATGTTCGATCTGAAGTGTTTTTGCTTGCAAGAATAAAGTTCAATTCTAGGCTACATAGATAACTGATATTCTCTTACCTTAGGAAGTTTCGTGCCAGTATATATCCTAATTTCTCTTGACAGGCGTTGTAGTTTGGTATTTAGAAGGCGATTGTCTAGTGCGAGCTGTGCATTGGCCTAAATGAGAATTACCCGTTCAAATTTTAGAATTTTTGTTGGCCTTATTGTTTGAAAACCATTTCAAAAAATTGCTCTCCATAAGAAAAAATCCACGCCTGCTGCCTTCGCAGATTTTTTTCTTGATTATAGTGTGCTTACGGTGTCGAGATTGTGCGGCATGATTTGCGCGTAATACACAGTTGCGTCTACAATGCCGATCACTTGCGCGCGCAAAATGCCGGCATAGCTGGCGTGGCTACTTGTTCACGCGCAAATTTTAGCGCACAGTCTCGGTACCGCAAGCACACTAAATCGAGCAAAAGATCTACTGAGTGTAACTATTTCACTTTTTACCTTTTTGGCTTTCAATAGCTCCTCCCTCATGTCGTCCAACATCTCTTGACGTGGAGATCTACCATACTGGTAATGTTTGGACCCATATGTCATCATGTGTAACTTCGGATGAAGTTCACATTATATAAATAAGGCAGTGGAGAGAAAGTGGCCGTTGCCTCGGCCTAATTGGTTGTCAACACCTAAACTATATTTGTGCTATACCGTTAAACTTGATAAATAAACAGTCAAAACATCGCGAATGGCATTGATATGCGGAAACCTTACTAAAACAAGTTGTCTGAGCTCAGATAAAATCTAGAAGAGATTATGAGGAATAGCAAACTGATAAAAATGATGAAAATTCAGTCGCAGTAATATTTTCCGAGATTCAAAATAAAAAGAAAAACATCATTAGACCTCCAAATTGGGCAAAATAAACAACCAAGTGCTATCAACATAGAAACTTTTTCAATGGTTTATGCTGCTGCGCATGAGCACCATATTTTTCCTTTTTTTTTCATTATGAAGAAACTGTGAAGTCGCACTATAGTTTGTGAATCTCTAACAGATTGCTTCAAATTTTTTTATTAATTGCAAAACTTAAGCATTTTGCGCAATATAGGAAAACCTTGAGCGAATGTCCCTTACCATGGAATAACCAAGAATATGACGAATAATCAGCAAGAAGTTATATTTTCATCATGGGAAGGTTTCACCTAATTCGCACAAAAAAATTGTAAAAAAAGTCGGTTTTTATTTGATAAGACTTTCTTTCGATACACCCGAGCTTATCAAAGAATCAAAAGCAAGAAAACAAAAATACGATATTTTATGAGTAGCAAAATTTATAGGTTTATAAGAAAGAGCAAGAATTGCTTCTAGAAATAAGAAATTTGTAAACGGCGTAAGCATAAAACAGTGGAAGTAGAGCTTCTGTAAGCTCAGTTGTACTAATAAATTTTTCCTATGATCTTTATTTCAATTTTTACTTATATAATGCTTCAACTGGTGCGTCGAAAAAAAAACAGTAACGCATTTTGATCACGAGAAATTATATAGAATAGAAGGCCTTTCGCTTTGCAATGGTAACCCAAATGTGATCCTATCTGAAGGTTTTTCTGGAAGATTCTTGTATGTGCATAGGGCAAGCTCAGATCTTTTATTCAGAGGCAGTGAAATTCTTAATGAAGCTTGGAAGTAAGCATAAAAGCTTTAAAAACCAGCAACCGTGCAAACATCGAG